ATAACGGCTAGCGAGCCGAAATTTTGTTTTTATTGCTGCAAGAGCTTTTAGCGGCGGGAAAATCTTGGACGAACCCTGACCCCGAATGCTGTGGTTGAAATGACAAATTTATCTGTTGGAAATGGGAAAAATGAGAGAGAGACAGCGACTGCGAGAGACAGAGAGAAAGAGAGAAATAGAGGGAGAGAGAGAGAGAGAGAGAGAGAGAGAGAGAGAGTGTGACAGGGAGCGTATTTGAAACAGGGAGAAAGAGGGGTAATAAGAGAGTTACTGAGTGTGTCGGGGAGTGATTTCGGAAGATCGAGAGAGAGAGAGAGAGAGAGCGAGAGGGAGAGAGCAGGAGTGAAAGCAGAAAGAGAGCGAGAGAATTAACCCGAAAATCCCGATTGAAGATGGTAAAGTGATCCGTTTCAACGCGCGTGTGAGTTTCACAAATGGCCCGACTAAAAGGGTGCTCTTGTGTGGGCCGACTGGGGTTTGGTGTGTATGGAAATAGAGGGGAACACCCCATGCAAAGAGAGAGAACGTCTTTCCCGGGCCCCAGCGGCCAACCCCCGAAATCCATACCCTAATGGCCCGGCCGGCCGGGGAACCCGGGAACGGGCCCAAAGAATTCGCGGGTATTTACGAGAATCTCAGGAGCATTCCTAAAAAGTCTTTGCTGGCATGTAAGCTTACGAATTGCCAGAATTCATCTCGAAAGATTTCTGCTAGCCGCCTCGTCACCAAACCTTCCTAAATACTCTCTGCTGGATTGCCTGGTCTGGTTTGTAATGATTTATAAACCGGGTTTGCTAGTAAGTTAAGCTGGAATACTTCCCAAATGATTTCTGCTAGCCTATCTCGGGATTATTCTGAGAAAATGGCTGACCAAAGACCTTTGCCAGCTTGCCATCCGTGTGAAAAGGGCAAAAGCAGTTTGTTAGGAGCGTTTTCTTCAATTTAAATTATTTTCAAGAGACAAATAACTTAATTTTTGAAAAGGCAACACCAGAAAATGGTAAATAACCAAGAGACCGCTGTTGACAGCCCGAAAATGGTAGCCATATGTTCTCTCTTTCTCTCTCTCGCTCGCTCTCTCCCTCTCTCGCGCTCTCTCTCGCTTTCTCTCTCTCTTTCTCCCTCTCTCTCTCTCCTCTCTCTCTCTCTCTCTCTCTCTCTCTCTCTTTCTTGCAGTGATTGATACAATCCCAAATCCGCAGACACCAACAAGTGTTATCCCGCCCTCAGATTTGTGTGGCCATATTGGGATGCCCATCTGCCTTCTGCTGGGCCATAAGGCAAAGGGTCGAGGGCCCAGGCGACAGTCAAAGGGTCCCTCTCTGTACCCCTTCCCCTGTCATTTGTCACTTGTTGCACCATTCACCGATGGCCCATTTCCGGTTCGGCGGATACTGGGGGGTCAGGTCGGGTGTTTTAGATAGGGTTGGCATTTGGGGAAACCGGTTTCCGATCTCTTGGATTTGAATCAATGCTTGGATTGACCGGATTGTATTGCAATCGATTTTTCAAATGAATCCGATCGATCGAATCTGCATAAAAACCGGTTTGAATAGAATCCGATTTGATCGGTTCTCGAAAAACCGGTTTTTGATTCGAAACCGATCGATCGGTTTCGGAAAAAAATCGGATTCCAGGCGAGAAACCGAGCGGAAATGAACCGATTTATGCAGAATTTTGGATGCAAATCATTTTTTTGGTGCTTGGCAGGCAGTGGCCCTACGATTTTTTGAAACTAAGCCGTTCTTAGCCTCCAAAAAATGGATATATTCCTTCCAGACATGATGGCTCTGGAAGTTACGAGCTGACCCCCAATTTCAGCACAAAAAATGAGGAATACCGTGATTTGCATCCAAAATTCTGCATAAATCGGTTCATTTCCGCTCGGTTTCTCGCCTGGAATCCGATTTTTTTCCGAAACCGATCGATCGGTTTCGAATCAAAAACCGGTTTTTCGAGAACCGATCAAATCGGATTCTATTCAAACCGGTTTTTATGCAGATTCGATCGATCGGATTCATTTGAAAAATCGATTCCAATACAATCCGGTCAATCCAAGCATTGATTCAAATCCAAGAGATCGGAAACCGGTTTCCTCAAATGCCAACCCTAGTTTTAGACTGGGCTTGGAAAGCAAAAGGAATAGAATTTGTGGTGGACTTAGGTAAGCTAGCAAAGCTCCCTTGGAATGGGTTTTTTTGAGAGGTTGAGGCAGGCTAGCAGAGACCACTGGGGAAAAGCCCTGGGAAAATCGAGATGAGGCAAGATAGCAGAGATCGCTAGCGATAAGGTTTTAGAAAAAAAATCGAGACAGGCAAGCTAGCAAAATTCCTCGGGAATCGGCTTTTTGAGACGCAGGCAGGCTAGCAGAGACCGCTTAGGATAAGATTTGGGGAAAATCAGAGCGAGGCAAGCTGGCAGAAACCACTTGGGAAAAAAAAATTGGAAAAACTAGACAAGGCAGGTCAACCAAAACCGCTTGGCAGAAGCCTTTCGGAAAATTGAGGCAGGTAAGCTTGCAGTGACCATTTGGGAATCCCATGCAACGAATACTAAAAATGCCGTCCACGAAGGTGGGAGACCCGATCGTATGTTGTAGCTGGGTCTTTTCCACGGGCGCAAAAAGACAACATGGAAAGTATGGCCAGGGAGAGAGGGAGATAGAGAGAGAGAGAGAGAGAGAGAGAGAGAGAGAGAGAGATAAAAGGCTGCAGCTGCTCCTAGTCGGCTGGCTCCCTTCCTCAAGGCGCTGGTGTTGTAACGATCCGGCATCGATCAGCTCGACACCGGCACACGCTAATTAACAAATGTAATTTATTTTCGAAAATTGATACCATCATTGTAATGCCAAATTTTTCTGTATTTGTTTACGTTTTTAGTTGCTGCCGTATTGCCTACCGTCGAATTGCTTAAGTTGATTTTTTCATAGCTCTTTTCGGCTAAAATCTTTTCTTGTCGGGATCAGATTCCGCAAATGAAGGCTGCTAGCTTGTTGTTTTTTAGAAACTACGCCCTCCCTTACAGGTTTGAGAGAGAGATGGAGGGAGAGAGCGAGCAAGGGAGTATGAGGTAGAGAAGGAGAGGAAAGTAAGACATAGAGAGTCAGAGATAGTGAGCAAGAGATAGAGTGAAGGAGCGCGAGAGAGACAAAGAGAGAGAGCGAGTGAGAGGGATACAGCGAGAGCGGTAGACAGAGAGCGAGAGCGATAGAGAGAGAGAGCGAGAGAGAGAAAGAGAGAGTGAGAGGTTTAGTAAGACATAGAGAGTCGGTGGTGAGCGAGAGAGACAGAGAGAAAGAAAGAGTGAGAGAGAGGGAGAGAGCGATTATTTATCTGACATGTAAATTTCCTTCCACGCCTGAAAATAATAATATACCAGGGTTGAAAAGCCGCTTCGCGACTTTTCAACCCTGGCCCCGTCTGATCCCATGATATTCTGCGCTTTGCATAATTCTCACGATTTTCGATGACAAAAAATGAGAAACGCTACCTCTCTTACCTTTATATAGGCTACCACAACTTCCGGCGCATGCTAATTGTTTCCTAACAAAGAGGGTCCTGGATTTTTCAACAAAAACTTAATTTTAACGTCGAAAACAGCTAATTTTTGAAGATTTTGTTGGTGTGCAGTCATCCCAAGGCCATTACGCACCTAATGACGTATCATACATGCCCCTAGCTACCCCCCTAATTGAGATAGTACTGGAACACGCTGACGGAAGTTGCATGCAAAGTGGCACACACACACACACAGACACTATTTTTTTATATATAGTAGGATTCTTTATTGACCACCGAATCGTTGTGAGTACAAAACGTAGCGTAACGTAATGGGGAAGAGAACTCTGTATGCGAGATGAGGAGCGGTTTTTATAGCAAGAAAAATGACAAAATAAATATTTTTTACAAAAAAAATGCAAATTAGCCGAATTGTGGTTTTTGAGAAGGGGAATAGAATTATTAATTTGATTTTTGGGGGGTTATTAAAGCCGTGGCGATTTTTGACTTACATACAACGGGGCAAATTTCGAGATCTACGCACTGGGGGTGGTTTTTGCTTTCGCGAAAATTATGCAAATGCCGATCGGGGGATGGGGGTACGGTAATACAGTAGGAGAAAGCGGAAAAAGGAAAAATACACGAAAAAATTAGAATAAGATGCCGGTGTCCGGAGGAGGTGCGGGTACCCGTAGTTTGTACTGCTCCGCAATGCAACGAGAGAAAAACGTACACATAAAAATGGGGGGCTTTTTGGGGGGTTTAAAGCGCCCTAATTTGCATAAATTTTTTGTCATATTTTTAGAATTTTCCTGGATAAAAATGGCGTTTAAAATCGTAATTATATTTTCTATTTTAACTACAGTAAACGTTTTTCTAATTATTACAATTTGCAGTAGCAAATTCGAAATTTTTTGCCTTTTGGACAAAATTAAAAAAGTACATTTCCAAAACTTCTGAAAATGAAATTTGTAATTAGAACAATTTCTAAGTGCTAAAATTTTATTTTGAATAATGTTTAGAATAATTTCCTTGAAATTTACATAATTTACGAAATAAAAAAATCGAAAATTTCAAAAATTGAAAAATCCTGAATTTTGCATTTTTTTACTAATTCGGGCCCTTTAAATTTGCATAAAATATAAGGGAGGATTTCTTAATTATTCTTACGCAATATAATCATTAAAATTAGCAAGAGACTTCAAATTTTGGGGAATTAATTTGAGAAAGACAGACTACCGTACTCACTGGGCGGACCAGAGAGATCCGTGCTCGGAGGATATGGTGAACAGACTAGATTTGCATATCAAAAAAATCAGTTCCCGCGATTTAAACGAAAAAGCAAAAGTCCGGCCTGGACGAGGGCTCGAACCCGGGTAGTGTGAGTGGGAAGCGAGAGCTTTACCACTTGTCCAGAAGCTCGTAGCCCAATTTTTTGCGAAAATCTCGGGGCGATTTTTTAAAGGGATTGGGAAGGGAGGTGGGTGGGATTGGGGCGGCTTACTGTACGAATCCGGAGACGAATTCCCCGGATATGACGCCGGAATCGTCGACGTTACGCCTTGGATCGTGCTTCCGCCGCCCTTCCGCGTCTTCTGCCCGCTGCGGGATGCGGGTCTGCCCGTTTCGGAGGTGTTCTGAAATTTGGATAGGTTAATTTAAACATGTTAAAATTAATCTGAGCGATTACGACATGTATATCTTATATACTAAGGTAAGTTAAAAAACCATTATTAAAACTTAAAAATTTATCAAGCTAAATTTAATTTAAACAATTTTTAAAAGAAGAGCTTACCGGAGATGACAGGATCATCTGGCCGTTCGGATCCTGACGATCTGCTGTCCATATCGTGCGAGTCATGCCTGCCGGAGAGGTACGCCGAATCGGCCGTTTCGTGTCGGGGAGAGGAGCTGGCGGAGGGCTCTTCCGGTACCACCTAGTGAATTAGGGAGGTTAAAACATCGATCTCACACTCGCTCTCTTTCTCTTTCGCCCACCTCATGCCCAACATTCTCATCGTCATCTTCAAGCAGTGCAAGACTCTCGGCCTCGATCGGCTCGCCGGGAGCGACAGCATGGCTGATGAGTGTCCTCCTCTCTGAGGTCCCAGACTCTCCCAACCCTGAGTCGATCGATCGGTCGGCTTCGACGAGGATTCTCGTGTCCGGGAGTGGGACCCTCACTCGCTGGTGCGACTTTTCGAACCTGAAGAGGAGGTTGGGTAGGGACTGGAAAGGAGTGATTTTCTGTGGATTTGTGGTGCGGTAAGGCGTAATTAGTTACGCTATGGAAAGTTTACCTAGAAACCATGCAAATTCTCACCACGTCGGGTCGCTCTCCTGGAAGTGCGTCATCCGCGAGATGGCCGCGTTCAGCTTCGCGAGATGCGGGTCGAAGCCGCTCAACCGTGGGTCGGAGCGTAGCGTACACTCGGTCAGGGAGGAGACGAGAAGCCCTGGAAAATTAGAGGTATCGCTGAATCTTGTTTCTCTCTCGCTCTCGCTCTCTCTCCTTCTCTCTGTTACCTATATTATCTGGAATGGTGTACTGTAGAAGAGGCGAGAGCGCGTAGAGTGTATAGGTGCCCTTCGTATACGGGAATCGCACCGAGACGACTCTGGCGTGCCTAAACGCGCATTAATAATATATCAAATTTTCTATGATAGTAAAATCCAGAAATTAACATACTGGAGCGCCAGGTCAATCTGGAGATCGAAGATTCGATCCAGCGGCCCCTGGGGGATCCGCTCGACCGGCTCCAACTTCTTGTGCCTCGCCTGGGCCCGCATGTAGCCACCAAGGGAGTTGATGATGATCACCTGAAAAAGGGAAATAATTTTCTTGCTCTCGCTCTCTCCCTCTCTCTCTCTCTGTCTCTCTCGCACCTTATCCGCCGTGACGACGCTGGAATTGATGTAGGTGTTCAAATTCTCCTCGATTTCGTCCTGATCCCACTGGTCCATCTAGAAAATTGATTGATTTTGGTCTTGCTAGATCATCGGCGCTAATAGACTTACATCCTAAACAACACCTTTAAAAACTCACATGTACTTTAAGCCCAAAGGTATCGCGTAGAACCTCGGCAAAGGCGACAACCGCTGCCTCGTGATGAGCACAATCGTGAGAGTAGACGAGCAGCACCGAGAAGCAGGCTGAAAATAGTGATAATTGAGACGGCGAGAGCGAGAGAGAGAGAGAGAGAGAGAGAGAGTGAGTGAGTGAGCGAGCGAGAGACAGAGAGAGAGAGAGAGACAGAAACTTACAGTTGTAGATCAACGGCTCTCGCGGTTCACCTCCAACGCCCCCATTCACATTATTATTGTTGATGTTCTTAAAATGCAGCGTGAATGCCTTCCCTTGCCGAAGATGACGTCTAAAAGGCTGTTTTTGCTAGTGTGCAGCTACAAACCGGTAGAACACGAATAGATAGTAGATGAGGATCATCAGGATGACGGCAAGGACGGCGGCCACGATCAGGATCGAGAGGCTCCTGAAAATTTAAATTTTCATTTCCCTGTCTCTCTCTCTCTCACTCTTTCGCACTCTTTTTCGCATTCCAAACGATACGCTAGACTACGCGACACTCCGCTGTCCGTACAGGGTTGCAAAACGTACTTATGATCCGTTCTCGGCCCCTTGTCCACCACCGTAGCATTATTTATACAATCGTGGCAAGGCGGCGCCGGTGGCTTCTCGATTTCTAAAAATTAAAAGCATTGTAAATCAAGTCGTGAATTAAGATAAATTTTTTGAAAGCACCCACTATGTAGCCGGACTTTCTTCCAATCCGCGGCGATACAGCTGCACACAATCTGATTGTCGTACGGATTTGCGTTCTAAACCGTGGATTGTGTACCGTAACCCAGGAAGGGCCACAAACCTGTGTTGGACAAAGACATCGACGGTCGGCCGATCTCTCGACCGGGATCACGGATGGGATGTAGTCTGTATCCAGCTGGAAAAAGGGCATTTTTAGATTTATAGAATTGAGTGCAATTTCCTCCAGGAGTTCTGCTAGCCTGCCTCAGCACTCTGAGATAGAGAGAGAGCGAGAGCGAGAGCTAGAGAGAGAGAGGGAGAGAGAGGGAGAGAGAGAAAGAGAGAAAAAGCTAGAGAGCTAGAGATAGTCCTAATCCCCACCTCCAGATTCGTAAAGTTGTGCTCGCCGAAGAGGACCTGCTTGCCGTTGATCGTCTCCGGGCGCATGTCGGCCACGTTTACGATCTAAACCACACGGTGTTGATTTTAAAGGGACGGTGACAAGCAGGAGTGACTGAAAATGAATACTTACATGACTATGCGTCAACTCCATGCCCGACTCGTCTTTCAGCCGCACCTCGTACGCCTCGAAACAGTACTGGGGCGGAGCGCCGACGAATTCGATCTGAAAGGCGAGATTTTAGTAACTCTCTCTCGCTGTCTCTTTCTCTCATTCTCTCTCTCACTGTCCCTCTCTGACTCGCTCACCTGAATCGTCCGCGCCAACGAGTGCAGGAAAATCTTCCGGAACGCCGCCGTCCACTTGGCCGCTTGCGGGTCGGCTGGAAAATGTTATAAAAAATGCGTAAAAATGTACCGTTTTACCCAGATTAATGAACAATACTACTAACTACATTATAAAACTCACAATGCGCCTTGCACCACGCCGTCAGATTGTTCTTCGACGGCGGGTCCTTCAGGTCCGGATCCAACGGCATCGTCGCATTACGGACAACTTGCGGCGCAGTTTTCGCGCTTCTCGGCAACGACCGCAACGTGATTTGGTACGGCTCGGCGAAGGCGAACAGGCTGTCGGAGGTGAAGTGGAAACGGGGCTGAACAACTCGGTTATGTTGAGCTTCTCCTGGGCCTACCGATGCCTCATCCTCGGTCAGCCCAAAGTTGGAGACGTTGAAGAGGAAGCAGCGCTTCTCCTCGGACCCACGCTCGACTTGGAGCTCGAAGGCGCGGATGCGGAAGGAGTCGTCTGGAAATGGGAGGAATTGGTTTAATCATCCCTCTCTCTCCTTCTCTCTCTCTCTCTCTCTCTCTCTCTCTCTCTCTCTATCTAACACTCTCTCTCCCTCCCTCTCTCTCTCCCTCAAATAACTCACTGCTCGGCGGCATCTGCCAGGATACGTCCACATGAAGCTGGTGTTCATGCTTCGACGCCCGCGCGTACGGTTCGACGCGGACGTCGTGGGCCGGCGGCGGCTCCGAGCCCTCCGCCACGTTGGCCACCGACACCTCGCCGCAGGTGACCACGTGCACCGAGCATGAGATTTCCTGAAAATCGAGCATGAGTTTTTCAAAATCTTGTTCATCTTCCTCGCCACTTAATTTTACGATTTTTGGTCCCAGGTGACCCCATAAATGGGGGTAAATGGTAAATTTGGGTTTCCGTGCGAAACGCACATAACCGGGCATGGGGTGGCTAATGAGCCCTGGAGGGAGAGAAAGAGAGAGAGAGAGCAGGGGAGAGCGAAGCGAGAGATAAACCACTGGTGGTTTGGCCTCAAAAAATGAGCGTGGAAACTAGGAAAACACAAAGAACTAGGGAACTGGCTAGCTAGATCAAACTATGCAATATCTCTTTAGCGCTCTCTCGCAGCCTTTATCTCTCTCTCTCTCTCTCTCTCTCTCTCTCTCTCTCTCTCCCCTCTCTCTCTCTCCCTCTCCCCTTGGAATCGCATTAGCAAGTGCGATTCTAGTCTAATTTCTAGAGCCCCATCTCGAGATCGTCTTAGATGGCTTCACCCCACCTCGGGATTAGCGTCATAAGTTTTTTTTCGGAATTCCCACAACCCTGAATGAATTCTGGTGTCGGTGGGGAGACTACAAAAAATTTGGCCAGGGGCTTGAGGCCAAAAATACCCCCAAGGGCCCGGCACGTGGCAATTTTCGGATTTTTGCCAGATCGGGGTCCAACCCGGGTGCCGGGAACCATATCAATACGCTCGGCGAAACGAACCTTATTATGGGGATCGGCGCAGTCGGGGTGGAAATTGCTGGCCGCCCAGAGGAGGGGCCACAAATTAGCAAGCGTGAACAGCAAAAATAGCATCTTGTGGAGTAGTTGGAGGGAGGAAGGGAGGGTGGGGGAGGTCGGCTTCTCTTTTCAGCCAACCGTCATCTCATACGCTCGAATCTGGAACGGATTGGGATTAATGATGGGGTTGTTGGGGGGCATATTAAATTATAAATTAATGAAAAAATGGAAAACAGTGGAAAACACGAAAATCCCGACATCCAAAGGTTCCACAGCCAGAATCCCGATGAAAAACTATCCAAAATCTCGACAGCCAAAATCCCGGGGTCCAAAATACCGACAGCCAAAATTCCGACATCCAAAATACCGACAGCGAAAATACCGACAGCCAAAATCTCGAAAGACCACGATCCCGAAATCCAAAATCCCGACAACCGAAATGGCGAAGAGAGTGCCATTCTAACTAGCGTCCAGAATGTGTCGGCATTTTGTCGGCGTTCCTGTCGAAATTTCGGCATTCCAGGTTTCGGTCGGGATTTTTGTCGTGACTTTTGCCGAGAATGGCTGTCGATATTTGGACTAGCGGGGTTTTTCGCCGTCGGGATTTGGCTGGAATACGGAGAAAAAACGTTAAAAACATAGAAATTTTTTGTAAATTTAATTGTTATGAAAATTTTAAAAGGACAAAAAATTGGGAGCAATATATTTTCCGAAAATTCTTTCAGGATTTTCGAAATTTTCGGCATTCGGGACCAGGCTTGCCTTCCGAGTTCCTTTAAAATTCCCCAGATCGGGCTGGAGGCCAAAAAGCGATGAAAGAAAAGCCGGGGAAAAAAGTGGGGGGACTGGCTGAAGGGGGTGGCGCGGAAATTGGACAGCCACGGAATGCAACGGAATGCCCCTCCTCCGCCTCCTCCAACTTTAATCAAGAACGGCGCGCAAGATGGGTGCAAAAAAAGTTGTGTGGGAGAGAGAAAGAGAGAGAGAGAGAGCGAGAGAATGAGAGAGAGAAAAAGAGCGCTCCAAAAAAGGCCGTGCGCCTGAAACATTCGTGCTATTCGTGGAATACCCCCCGAAGTTATTGGACGCGAAATGGGGGAAAACTGAGTGGCAGGTGGCCGCCACGGCTTCTCCTTCCCACTCTCGACGCTATAAATCAGCAAGTCTACCCGCTGGGGAAATGTTGCAAGGAAGGGACGACAGGCTGATGTTTGAGAAGGCCGGAAATAAGGTTAGAATAACGTCAGAAAATCGAAACAGCCCGGATTTTGCGGTCTTGCAAAAATTTCTCTAAAATCATAGCTACTCTGAATTTACATGTTTTATACATCACTTTGTAGCCCTTGAGATGCTCTATTTTATGCAAAGATTTTCGGACTTTGAATGCCTAAAATTGCCGAGATATGGGCCTGGTCAGAAATTTTAGTAAGATCCGATAACTTTGCATCCAGAAATTTTAATAACATTTTAAAGATAGCGTTCGAAAGCCCGTAGAACGTAGATGGTTGTAAAAATAATGACAATGAATTAAAATGCCATGTTCGCCCTGATTCAGCCACCAGAAAACATTTTTACTAGACAAAAATGTCCCAAACCTACCAACTTTGCATCCAGTAATTAGCATAAAATATCAAAGCTACCTTTTGAAAGCCCGCAGAAAATAGACGTTTTTAAAAATTAGAAATAAACAATCTAACAACAGCGATTTATGAAACCAAGAAAAAATTTTCAGAAGAAAAAAATCAAAGCCGTGCAACTTTGTATCCAAAAATTTTCGTATGATTTCAATGCTACCCTTCGAAAGCTCTTGACAGGCAGACGATTTTGAAGGTTAAAGCAACCAAAAACGATCAGAATTTCGAGGAGTTGCAGTCGTTTAAAGCTGAATCTTCCAAGTTCCGTTGCCATCCACGATTACGGGTTTGTCAGGGATATCCCAATGTCATCAATCGGCTCAAGAAAACTCCAGAGCACGCGATGTTCGGCCAGCGAAATGCGTGTGTGTATGTGGTGGAGGCGCGCCGGGCGTGTCAGATCAATATAAGGGGGGACGACTCGGGGGGCTTCGTTTCGGACGCGGAAGTCCAGAGCTGAGGCTGAGGGAGGAGCAGGAGGGGAATAAGTTCGCGCAGCACGCGCACGCGAGATCAAATCGTCGGCACAGGCATGGGATTTGAGACAATAAATGGAAGGGGACAGCTGGAAACTTAAGCCTAAGCTAAGCCTATGTCTACGCCGAAGCCTAAGCCTAAGCCTAAGCCAAGCATCAGCCTAAATCTAAATTTAAGCCTAAGACCGACTTAAGCCTGATGCGAAGCCTAAACCTAAGCCCAAGCCTAAACCTGAGCCAAAGCCAAGACACAGCCTACGCCTAAGCCCAAGCGCAACTTAAGCCTAAGCCTGACCCTGACCCTGAGCGTAAGCGTAGGCCTTGGCAAAAGCTTAATCTTAAGCCTAAGCCAACCTGAGCCAAGTCTATTAGGCCTAGACTCAGCCTATGTAAGCGAAGCGTAAGCCTAGGCCTAAACCTAAGCCTACGCATGAGCTTAAACATGTAACTTTAAAGAGATGAGACTTGGAGAAACCAGAAAAACGAATCATATCGACCTTCCAAATACCTTTAAAGGGACGGTGACATCAAGTTTTACAACGAGTAGATGGCGTCTAATTGACAAAATTCGTCAAAAATTAAAAAGTACACCTCGTGGTCGGGAATCCACCGCCCGAAGTGTCGATTTTGTGGACTCTGAGAGCCGGGGGGTCGAGGAGCTCGAGATCCGGTCTGCCTCTTTCATAGGGGGAGCATGGAGAATGAGGATATAGCCCCAGGGCATACACCAATATCGATTAAGGGGATGGAACGGAGACGCGGAAGCGCGGTAATTAGTGGAAGCTTAGGCTTAGGCTTAGGCTTAGGCTCGGCTTATGCCTGAGCTTAGGCTTAGGCTTAAGCTTAGGCTTAGCATCGACGTCAGCTTATAGCTTCCACTTTGACTTGGGCTTGGCTTTGAGCTTGGTGTAGGCTTAGGCTTTGGCGTAGGCTTAAGACTTAGCTCCGGGAGCAGGTCAAACTTCCTAGGCTCAATTTTGGTTTCACACGCTTGGGCTTGGGCTCAATTTAGGCTTCAGCTTCTGCTTACCCCCGCTTTGAACTCCAGATCTGCCTAAAAAATACGTGCGTGTTCGCCCGGGCTGGCAACAATCGATGCCAAGGCATGAAACCGAGCAATGCGGGGGGGGGCGTAAACAAGGCCGCTCGACAAATCCGCCCACATCGCCATTCCCCCCGGTTGGCAACTTGTTACGCAGTATCCAACACGACACGACACACACATATACATTTTTTCATATCCGGTAATCCGATTAGGGCCGGTAAGAAAAATTGGGGGCTGGATCTTTGATTCCATTACCATTGTTAATAGGTTTAAAGGGAGTGAGACAGGATTGAAGTTCTGGAATTGGCCTTCTGGCGTTCTTTAAAGGGATAGTGCCAGCTAGGAAGAAAAAACCTAAAACTTGCCTTCGCTACTTTTTTAAAGGTTTCAAGCGAGTCTTGGCAAGGCAGAGATGCATAGGAAATCAAGTTTCTTTGTTGTCTCGTCCTCTCTCTCTCCCACTCTCCCTCTCGCCCTCTCTCTCTCTCTCTCTCTCTCTCTCTCTCTCTTCCTCTCTCTCTCTCTCTGTCACTCTTTCGCACTCTCGCTCTATCTCTCTCTGTCACTCTCACTCTATCCCTTTTGCACACTCTCGCTCTCTCTCACTCTATCCCTTTGGCTCTCTCTCTCTCTCTCTCTCTCTCTCTCTCTCTCTAACCATAAGACCGTACATAAGTAGTGAACGTACTTATCGTTAAAAACATTGCATCACCCCCAACTATCACTTATTCAAGGCAATTTCGGGAAAAATAATTACTAGGATAAAAGACACAGCAATGACGACAGCGTCAGCAAAAAGAGGTCTGCAAATTTGGTATTTGAAATCGGTGCGTGTGGGCAGGTGGGAAGGGCTTCTCACATCGACCCGGGAAAAAAAAGAGGCTTCGCAATTAGGCGCTCGAATATAAAATTTAATCCCAAAAAATCGAGGAAAAAACGCAGGCTGGCAAAGATTCCTCCGAATCCTTAGGTTTTTCGACCAAAAAACCGAGAAAAACTGGCTCAATGGCTACCTAGCAGAAATGTTTTTGGAAATTTCTAGAAATTCACCCTCAATTTGGTGCATGCATAACAAAAATAGGCCAAAACCAGGCACGGCACAAGAACAGGAACGCCCGCCAGATCCGGCTGACCAAACACGCGGGGGGAATCTCGGCTGGTTGGGACTATTTTCAGGCACGGCCCATTCTCCCCTTCTACTCCCAAATTAAGCTGACGTTGTTTTTGAGCCGGACGGGAGAGAGAGCGAGAGAAAGAGAGAGAGAGGGAGAGAGGGAGAGAGCGAAATGCCAAAACTAGACAAGAAAAGTGAAAAGTTCGTACTTTGGAAAGATCGGAGATCTCAAAATCGAGAGCAAAACAGAATCTCGGGTGATTGTCAGGGGGCGAAATCTTATGATTAGGCTTAGGATTAGGATAAGGCTTAGGATCAGGCTTAGGCATAGGCTTAGGCTTAGTCTTAGGCGTAGGATCTTGCATGGGCTTAGCTAGACAAAAGCTTAGGGTTGGGCTTAGGCTTAGGCACAGGCTTAGCTTAAGAATAGGTTTAGGCTTAGGCTTAGGCTCAGCCAAGAACTTAGCCTTAAGTTTTGCCAAGTAAGCTTAGGCTCAAACGAAGCCAACAGGTGCATCGGGTCCAGGGAAGCCCATGTATGCATGTGGCTATGTGTGTGTGCGTGTCGATGGATCGGTCGAGAAGAGGAGGAGTAGAAGGGGAAAGGAGGACGAAGAGGAGGCGGAGGTTCGGAAAACGAGCACACGTTGCCCCTCACGAACCTCTCCTCCTGCTCCTTTCTCCCCTCTTCTACGCATCCACTTCGGGACCCGCGACCAGCCAGTCGTCAATTTCTCACACTCGAGAGTGCCGCGCGGGCGCACCTCGAAAATCGTGGTGAGCCCCCGCCCGGAGGTAAAAACCCGCCCTACAAAATAGGTGAAAAGTGGGCTTTAAAACTGGGTGGACACGAGTTTAAAGGAACAGGCAAGAGAATTCTATGGATTTTCAAGGCCGCGCATTGCCTTGGACGTTCCTTTAATGCGAGATCGAGGATGTAAGAGAGACAGAGCGAGAGAGAGAGAGAGAGAGAGAGAGAGGGAGAGAGAGCGAGAGAGAGGGAGGCGAGAGAGAGCGAGAGAGGTAGAGCGCAAACCCAGCCTCCTCTTGCTCACACTCCCAGCCCACACACCATCATTAATAGCCCAGGCAGGATCCAAAAATCCCCTCCCTCCTGCAGCTGCCTTTCTGATGTGGGGGTCCCGGGGTGGAAAGTGGTGGTGGCGAGGCCCAGAATATCTAAAAGCTCCCCGGGCCAAGCTTCTCTGCATTGTTTCCGAGAAGGCAGCCCGTTTTCCCGGAAAGCACCAGAGAACGGCTGGCGGTGGAGGTAGTGGAGCGGAGCAATGGGCCGGAAGAGGAGCACGAGACGGCTTTAAAGGGGCTGGGAAGGCAAGGGAGGATGGGTTTCGGCATATTTTTCGCTTTCAAATCTATGCATTCGAAGCTAGTACAAATATGTACTATGTACGTGGGTGGCGGCGTCGCGCGCCCGGAAATGAACTTCAGACGAACGACGTCAACAAGTCGTTGCGGCTGGTCTGAATTGGGCCAAAGCGGCGAGCGTCGAAACTTTGAAAAACTGGGCAAGTCGCGAGTTATACAGAAGGAGCATGAGAAGGAGAGCTTGAGCGAGAGAGAGAGAGAGAGAGAGAGACAAGACCCGTAGCGGATCTTTGGTATCTATTAGTGCATGACTGAAGCCAACAAATCGAGCAAAATTCAAGCTACTAAAGCTGAAAATCAAAACATTCCGAAAATTACTATGTACATACACCCACTTCCGCCCATAAATTGACGAGATATGTTTTTCACGGGGGTTCGCGAGGAAGCGGCCAATTCCAAGACCCAGTTGTCAACAGCCCCCCTCCAACGGATTATCACTACTATTTTGCCGGCACACCACCACTGGCCGCCGGCCGAACAAGTACGTTTCACTCCGCTTATCAACAAGCCCGTCATTTTTTTAGCCGCAAAAAATATGGCGGGAATCAGGAACGGCTAATTTAACGAAAAGGAAAGACAAGGATACAATCACCAAAAAATTGGTTTTGTAAATTTTTCTCAGATTAAGCTAAATTATTATAACATCTGAATTCAACATAGAGTTGTAGAAATAATGTTTTTAGGAATGTACCGTACTGCCAACTTAATCCGTAGCTTAATAAAGAAAAACGAGGGTTCCTCAAAAAATTCTGCTAGCTTGCTCACCGCCAAGAAGGATAGGAAAGGAAAACCAATGAAAGTAACTCAATTGAAACAAACATCTAAAAATCCTAGGTCTCCTGAACGCGCAAAACTCCTGTGTCGATAGGCGCGTAGCGTAGTCTGGAATTTGACTACGCGACTTTCCAATCACCACCCAAAATTTGGGCGCGTGTGGACGGACCTCATTGATAGCTGGAGGAAATTAAAAAAGCCGAAAATCAGCGGAAACGGAATAATATCGTATCGCCAAAGAGTCAAGCTTTAGCAAGCAGCCTCGAGAAGTAAAAGTGAAAAAATTAGCAACCTAAAACCGCCAAAACCAAAATTCAACCCTACCCCCAAAAAAGGTCAAAATTCCGTGGGAGGTGTTCGTCTCCGGCCGGAGGGCCCGGGGCTCGAAATCTAGCCGTCTGGCCAAGTGCGGGCCCCCTGGCCGCTGAGCGTTACCGCAAAAAGTGAGACCCAGAGAAAAAGAAGAGGGGCCCGCAAAAAAAACATGAAGACTCTGAGCGCCAGAGGGGGGCACGTGTGGGCCCTAGGGGCCCATTCGATCGATCAGCCGCCCTGGTTGATGTTGAGGGGGCCCATCTCTCGCCGCGGCTCTCCGCGAATTCCTATGGACACTCGCTAGTCAGGTTCTCGGGCGGGGCCCTGGGCCCTCTCTCTCTCGCTCTCTATCTTTCTCTCGTCGACACGACCAACCCTCCTCCCCCACCCGGCCCCCCGATTATACACGCCCCGCCGCTTCTCGGCCAGTGCCACGGACCGGGCGACGTCATCTGGAGGGCTCGTGTCCGCGTGAAAAGGACACTTTTTGATTTAGCTCCACGCCAAGGGTGGCGGGGGGGGGGGGGAGAAGTGGAGGGCGACCCCCGCAAATTTCTAGTTCCGGGGTTCGTTTTTAAGGGGACTGGAAGGCCTGGCTACAAGCAATCTTTTCTAGGGCGTTACTTTCACAATGTCGAAATCGTAACGTCGAAATTTCGTAATGCCTAAATTTATATAAGCAAAAAAACCCCAAACTCGACGCAAAAAAAATTCGGCGTTATGAAATTTTGACATTGATTTTTTGACTTATTGTAGTTTTACGGGGTCGCATCGCTCATTTGATGGAGCTTGAAATTCGGAACAAATCACAACTTTCAAAAACTAACGAACGATAACGGTTTTCAAGAAAAAGTCTCTAAAAGTCTATATTGCCAATAATGCGCAAAACGCGCCTTTTCAGAGAAAATCTTCTGCAAAACCCATATCTTAAACGAATAGGTAACCAGCTTTTCAAGCCCTTTGAAACATAGCTAATAATCACGTTAGAATGATTTTAAAGAGGTGTGACAGTCTTTTTACAGCAAAAAAATGCTTGATAAAGTGAAGGATGCAAGGCGTCTGAGGCGCCTGAAATGGCGCAAGGCACTTTCCCACGGCTGCTGCGTACGCACGCCCTGCCATATATGACTAATTATTTAGCGCGCATACCCACTAATTCAGACGCCCTGCAAATCCCCCCTCACCCGGTGCCCTTTGTATTTTTTGCGGCGGATTTGGCGGCTGCAAATTTCGAAAAAATGCCCGAAAAAGATGGTATTTGAAATTTTGCAGGGTGGAGTTTGGCGTGTGTACTATGGGTTGTGAAATATGGCGCTGAGTTGTGAGGCAAAATCAAATACCGTCTCTTTAAAGTTTCTCTTAAAAAGTATATATTTTTTGGCTGAGGACGCTTTGCGAATTTGGTGCTCCCGCGATACACAACGCGCTCCGCAGCCCCTTCCGCGACCGCGAAACGCAACGCGCGCGACACTGGGCCTCAATGAAATACGCGAGTACCGAATGAAAGGGTGGCCGAGCGCGTTGCGTATCGCAGACGCGGCCAAATCTCTTGCGAATCGAAAGACAGGAAATCCAAAGTCAAGCCTTCCGTGTCTCTTTAAACGCGTTTTCGAAATTTCGAAAACGCGCTGCCCTGATATAACAAGACCAAAAAGCAATGCGTAAACGCTCGAAAATACAGCAAACCATCGCCGCGGGGCGGTGAACGATGGTATTGGTCGGGGCGGGATGGCTGGCTGGCTTTTCGGTGGACGGTGCGAGGAGCCGGCGATGGACAAACAGGCCCCACCACACAGCCAGCAGCGCCACCTCCACAAACACCCGCGCGCCCACCCGCGCGCGGGACCCCCCGGCCGCCGATGCTCGCGCCCGCACACATACACACACAAGCGAACGGACGGCCCGGCACGAAACGCCCGGGACCCCCACCATACACCATAGACACGACGACGACGTCTTGTGCGCAAAAAGTGACGAAATCTTGAGGGGGGAGAGAGCGCGCGCGAACAAGGGGGTGAACGGCTGGGGGGAAATGAGACATGTAGGCTGATTTCAGGAAAACTGGTACTTTTTGCAAAAGCGTATTTTTTATTTTTGTAAAAAGTATTTTAAACGCGCATTCAGACACAGGTTACGTTGCAACCTATGTACGCAGAGATATCCTTATAAGGCAACGCTCGTACGGTCGTAAATAGGCGTCGGCGTCATCCCCACACTTTTCCTGGCAGTATCTCATTAATTTTAGGATTTCAGGTTTTACAGAAGTTTTATTACACCGTGATAACATAATAAAACTTATTTATTCCCACGTGGGAACTTATTTATTCACACAAAGGTCCAAATTTTAGCCCCAATATTTTTTTCGCATTAGAAATGGGCTTATTCAGGCTATATCTTCTGGGTGTGTTGTCTGTTATCTGAGAATACCGTTAATTCACTTAATTCCAATTTCAGGCGACCTTTATTACGATAGATCCCAGAATTTTTCCGGTGGCAGCAAGGGTTCAGAAAGCGCTATAGAGGCTTCTTGGGGCAAACCAAAGTAAAAAGTTGTTTTAGGCTTTGGATTTTATTGATTTTATGCAATTTCGGTTGACCTAATCCCGGGTTTCGTTAGTGTTTTGTGGTTGTAGTTGCGCAGATGGACGGCCCCCATGTGACTACAGCGCGTGCCTTGATACGAACGCACCCCATGACCTAACCACGATTGAGCATTTCCCGGGAAAAGAGTCGCGCAATGAATCACGGAGCTTCGAAGGCTCTTTGGTTCTCATTCTTTTGCTGTTTTATCCCTACCTTTGGCCGAGAATTATAAAGAGCTGATTAGTTGGAATGGAACAGTTTCCACTTTTTTTACCTTGACTGACTTTTTAGGGCTGAACGGCTTTTTTCGCGAGCGAAAAGGCATTTATAATCATAAAAACTATATTTCGCAACCAGACAAAGCTAAAAGAACCTTGAAAACCTAGTTGGGTCTGCGTAGAAAACGTTGGTTACATTAATTAGGCCTCACATTTCTATTTTTTTACTTAAATAATGTCCTCGATCAGCCTCTGCGATTTTATTTACTTACTAACCCCATGTTTTTTTTCAGTATTGCAGCCATCAACATGGTGGAAGTGAACATTCACGATATCTGGCGCGGCAACCTGGACGAGGAGTTTGCAAAGGTAACGGCTGCGCTTTTGATTAAAATTCGTATTTCTCTAGATCCGAGCTCTTGTGAAGGACTACCCCTACGTGGCGATGGACACAGAGTTCCCGGGCGTCGTGGCGACACCGATGGGCCAGTTCCGCTCGAAAGAAGATTTCAACTACCAGCAGGTCTCGTGCAACGTCAACATGCTCAAGTTGATCCAGGTATCAGACTTGAAAGGTGATGGAAGGGTTTTGTCTTTTCCAGGTTGGCTTCGCACTCGTCAATGATAAAGGAGAGCTCCCGCCCGGCGGAGATGTGTGGCAGTTCAATTTTACGGTACAAAAATATTCGTTGAGATCTTATTTATTTTCTTTAGTTTAACCTCGACAGCGATATGTACAGCGTCGAGAGTGTGGAAATGCTGCGCGCCGCCGGCATCGACTTCGCCAAGCTCAAGGTTTGATTTTCAACGTTGCGGACGACTGCTTTTTTTTTAGACCGACGGCATTGGAATGGAAGAGTTTGGCGACCTGTTGACCACGTCGGGCCTTATCACAGACGAGCGAATCACTTGGATCACGTTCTCCAGCGGCTACGATTTTGGATATTTAACGCGCGCCATTCTGAATGTAGAGCTTCCGAAAGACGTAAGATATTTTTTTTCTTTCTTACATGCTTCGTTTTAGGAATCCAGCTTTTTCTCCTTCCATCGCATCCTCTTCCCTAAATGCTTCGATGTTAAACTATTGATCAGACTGCCCATTTGCCAGAGCGCCAAGCTGAAGGGAGGACTTCAGGAGGTAAATCTTTTCGGCTTATCTCCGGATTGCGGTATCGCAATATTACATTTTTAACGGAAAACTAAAGATTCAATAATTTTTGATTTGTGCCGGCTTTAGAACTTATGAAACGTATTTTTTTTTTCAGGTTGCCGATCAGCTGGATGTGAAGCGCTACGGCGCCCGGCATCAGGCCGGCTCAGATGCCTTGCTCACCGCCAAAACTTTCTTCAAGATCAAGCAGCAATTCTTCGATGGAGACTCCTGGAACCACGTAGTCCTGTGTCACCTGTGAATTTGTAATATTTGTATTCTAGGTCTCGAAGATTGTCTGCGGCCATCTGACCGGCCTCGGCGAGTCGCGCACCGTCGGCGGCTTCCCCTCAAGCAGCCAGAACCTGTCGTCTATCATCAAGGAGGCCGATGTGAAAGTGCGAGCATGTAAGCCCGCCTTCGCTAATTTTCAATCGTTATTTTTAGGATACATCTTCTCGCCGATCTTCCAACCCCGGAAGCGACCAAATAAAAATAAAAATCTCAATAAAAATTTGAAAATATCTTGTTGAACACACGTAATGGCTTTCAAAACCATAGATTTTCCTAGATGGTTCGTGGCTTTCCTAATGGTCTATTGTCGTTTGTACAGGGTACCCAGAAATGCCGCACCCTTCACAATCAAACAAAGGCCGGAAAAGAAGAGCCAAGTTCACCGACGAGATTCAAGAAGATCTGAAGCCACAGAAGGCGATAAAGCTTCTAAATCAGGAGGTGAGAATGTGTGACTCTTCGCGCTTTGAGAATAACGACTAGGTGTCCATGTTAGTCGTGCTCAGCCGACTAAGCTGATCAGTGCGAGTTTGGGGCTACTATTCACTTAATTTCGACGGTCTAGGTAGACCTTGATCTTCCCGGTGACGGCCAATTCTATTGCATCGAATGCGCACGCTACTTTGCGGATGGTGACACGATGGGCAAGCACAAGAAATCTAAGGTACTACTGTCTTTTCGTTCTACAATCCACTTTTAGCCGCACAAGCAACAATTGAGAAGACTGAAGGAGGTCCCGTATTCAATAACCGAGGCGCGGGCAGCTGGTGGTATGGGTGTGGCGCCGGCGATTAAGGTTTGAAGACTGTCAGTGGATGTATTTTTCGATTTAGAACTTGACTCCTGGCGAAGTGACGGCGATGAACAAGGCGGCAAAGAGCGACGTCAAGATGGCCGAGGAAGATTCCACCAAGTGATGCAGTTACAACGTAGAGCCCCGTTTGATTGTTGGTTGTTGATTTTGACGTTTGCGTTTTGTTGAGAATTTTGGTTTGAATAAAAAGTTCTTAGAGCTGAATGGAGTGTCACAAGGAAAGGGAAGCTGACATAATAGCTCTTGGTAACTGGGAAACACGATGAGAAGCACGTTTGGCTTGTGAAACGTAGAATTAAATAAACTATTCAATCCTGCAGCGCAAATGTTGAAAGCAGCACTTTCTTTCAATCTGCGGCATCTTCGATTCGTTTCCGTCAAAACGAAGCTGAAAGACTACAAATTTCCAGAAATTCGGAATGAAGACTGCGAGCAGGTCGGTCAACCTCTGCAGCGTCATGTCTTGATTTCAGCATTACATGTCCGGTTGGGGTCCCGGCGGTCAGAAGGTGAACACCGCGCAGAACGCCGTCCAAATGAGGCATATCCCCACAGGGATCATTGTAAAAGTAATAATTCTATGCGTTCCGATATTTCTTTAGATCCACGAGTCCCGGCTCTTATCGAAGAACGTGGAGATCGCCTTCGAGCGTATCAAGCACGCTGTCGATCGACATCTCAACGGTGACAACTGTTACGAAGAACAGTACAAACGATTACTGGTAGCAAAAATGCTTTATCCACAAAAATCACTTTTACAGAAGGAGAAGGGCGACAAGGCCAAGAAAAGCCGGGACAAGCACCGGAAACTGAAGGAGGAATACCAACAAGAGCTCGACGCACAAGGACAAAAACCGTGGGACAAAACAACCGGAAAAGAAGATGACAAGTGCGCATAGCAAAAACCCTGCTACCCGATTTTTGTGAACCATTATGGGTTGTACATCGAAATGAATAAACTATTCAGAAATAAACAAAGCTGCACATTTAAAACAGACGAAATGACATACACGGAATATATCAAAATACTTTCTTGGCGAAGGCGAAGAAAATTAGTCCTAGTCAGCTCGAAAAAGACACAAATAGTGAATGTAAGAATTCGTTGCATAAAAACATCGAGACAGTTAGTCGGTAGCTGTCCCGGCCTGGGCGATCAAATTCAAAATCCACTCTGTGGGGATTGCTTGACGGCGAACCACTTTTTGAGCATCTTCCAAGCACATCCGAGGGATGTTCAACTTCTCAAAGTCGTTGTGGGCCTTCGTGATGCCGTCTTGTGAGAAGCCCTTACTGGAAAGAAGAGGAGGTCACGTTATTTGTCCAAAAAGAAAGCGCACCTGCAATCTGTGACTGCTGCCGCGAGAAATCCAAGTTCTGCCGCATCCTTTAGTGTCGCGGCCACGCAAATGTCATAGGCTAACCCGCAAACAAGCAGCGCGTTGATGTCCTTTGCTCGCAGCGCTTCTTCCAAGTGTGTTCTAAAAGGACATATCTTCAAAACACAGAACTGATCCCTACCTTCCCTGCTTGGCATTGTCAAAAAAAGCCGAATACGAATCCGTGAGCACGTCGGTACCCTTGTAGATCATTTCGGCATTGTCGACGACGCGAATTCTGCTGTCCAACTTTGCACCATCGCTATTCTGGACACAATGTGACGGGTAGAGCACCTAAAGATATGCTTACAACCTCGAAATAATCGTACCTGCTTGCACACCGGTTTCGCGAAGGACACACAGTCGAAAAGGGACGGCTCTCTGTCCCTTTCTTCTGCCGCCAGTTGTCGATCCTCATCGTGCCGGTGGTCGAAGAATGAAATGTGGTTCTCCGGGTGCCAATCAAAGGTGTAGACGACGAGATCGATTTCCTGAACAAAGTTTTCGGTGCTTTTGCTCTATCGGTGGGGGGGGCGAATCAGAAACGCTTAGACATAACACGTAGTAGTTTGATAGTTTCTAGTAAATGTAACAAAATTTCTGGTGCAAGCCTTTCTAAAAACTCGAAAATCGATGTTTTGTAATTTTTAATCAAATTTGTCAAGTTTTACGTATAAATAGTGCAAACCCTTTATTAGAAAAATCGGATCATACGGAAAAATGGTCCACCCGATAATGCGAAAGCACCAATTTTCTACAAATGCCTTCCAAGAGCGCACCTGTTCCGAGAGTAATGTGTTAATAGGGCACACGGCGTCATCTGGGTTCTCGCCCGAATCGCCTGCCTAGAAATGTCAGGTTGCTTAATCCAGGAAAACAACCTTCAATGACAGCGATCCATCTACAAAATCATTCTGGAAATCGACGACGATGACGGCGAGTTTTATCTAAAATACAGAAATTTCTCTCTAAGAGCAATTTTACCTTTTCCAACGGGTTTATGACATGGCGTTGCAGTTTCTTTCTCCATCCCGGAGTAACCGTCGCGATTTGGCACTAAAACAGATGTATGACTCACAAGGAGATGGTCTCAGCTCGACACCGAATTTCGTTTTCAAAATTTGCACACTGATAGAGCTCGACGAGACGAATCGATTGGTGTAACTATCAGCTGCCCATACTAAAAAATAGCCGAGTTATAAGCATTTTAAGTTTTTGCATACATTTTGCATTTTTTTCCGCCCTACCTTCATAAGCCCTCGCCCTTCCCCCATCACCGTGGCCTCGTGTCCTAGTGGCGTAGTCGGCGGCGTATGTGGAATCTATTGAAGGTTCGAACCCGCTCACGATTTTTATTTTTTGCTTTTTGGCACAAATGCTGCCATTGGCGTTCTGAAGGCCTGGAATCAGTTCGTATTACTTATTTTAACTCTTGCAAGGCGCAGTGCCCACAATACCTCATCAACAAAAATTTTCGAACTTAACATTGGACTTACGCACAACCTATCACAACGTTTTCAAAAAATTGCGCCAATAAAAAAAGCTTGCTGACGTACAACGCATTCACCGTATGTTATACTGATTCTTAACTTTTTGTTCTATTTCAAATTTTCAATTTTGTTGCTGGAACATTTAATGCCCTTGGGGTCAAAAATCCAATTTTCTGAAAAAAGATGTTTTATGGTCGCTGCGCCTTGCAAGGGTTAAAATACGGAATACGAACTGATTCCCGGCCCTCAGAACGCCAATGGCAGCATTTGTGCCAAAAAGCAAAAAATAAAAATCGTGAGCGGGTTCGAACCTTCAATAGATTCCACATACGCCGCCGACTACGCCACTAGGACACGAGGCCACGGTGATGGGGGAAGGGCGAGGGCTTATGAAGGTAGGGCGGAAAAAATGCAAAATGTATGCAAAAACTTAAAATGTTTATAACTCGGCTATTTTTTTAGTATGGGCAGCTGATAGTTACACCAATCGATTCGTCTCGTCGAGCTCTATCAGTGTGCAAATTTTCAAAACGAAATTCGGTGTCGAGCTGAGACCATCTCCTTGTCAGGCGGTCAACGGCGGGAACCGGCTTGAACCCGGCCGATAAGGTAAAAAAGCTAGCCTTCTTGAAATCTCCACAGAACCTGCAAGGAACTAATTGATAAAAAGCTCACATCAGTAACATCAGCCACACATTGCCGGATTCTCTCCAGATCGAGCTGGTCGCCGCCCAGCTCGCGCAGTCTTGATTGAAACTCCGTGTAGTCGGCGGCGCCGCTGGCGTTGCTCATCTTCTAAAAAGTTGCAATAAATACAAATTTCAAGGTAGAAACAGGTCACCACGCGAAAAGCCCTGGTTCTGCCTGGAAAGCGTCAATTTACAGCGGTACTCGATTGAGATAGCCCTACAGCGAAGGGCGGCTTTTTACGACGCAGAAGCAAAAACGACCTTAAAAAGTTATGAGCCCGGACACGTATGGGCCCGTGTGATCACCGAAAGCAAAAATGCTCGGAGTGTGTGTTAAAAGTTTGCTAGCCGGCCTAAGGTTTTCGAAATTTCCCGTCCCCACCAAATCTTCATGAAGGTTGTAGATTTCGAGTCTACACATCCGTTCCATTCCGTTTGTTCAGCCAGAAGAAGAAAATTCAATAATTAGCGGGGGAGTTCGCGGTGAGGCCCGGCAGTGGCTTCTCCGGGCGAACACCGGCTAAGCCGGCTCAGACCTGGGCTTCGCGGGGGACGCTGATAATTTTTTCTTGCCCTTTTTTGAGGGGGAATCGTCTGCCCAGAAGCTAGGCGCTTCAATTTCGGGGAGTTCCCTTGAAGATAAAGCTCCTGCGCACAACTAGGGCACACAGGTGGGCGGGGAAAGTTCAGGGTTGTGCCTATTTTTCTGCCCTGCCTATGCTGCCAATTTTTATAAGGGGTAAGGCGGGCGATTAGTTTTTATTTGGTCAATTAGAAAATGCCGCACGGCGCACGCTTTGTATAATAAGAATAATAATGCATTTTAAATAGTAAGTTATGGTCTCAGAGCGTACTTTAGACGTAAAAGAGCTAGCTTAGCGTCTAAATACCCAAAAATAATATTAATTATAAGCATTGAGACGCTAAAGTAGCTTTTTATATCTAAAGTATGCTCCGGCACATTAAAATTTCAAAGTTAGTAGCATTACAAAAAGCGTGCGCAACGTGTGCTATTTTCTGACTGCCGTTTTTCACTTTAGCGCACGTTTTCTGCGTTATATCCCCAGTTAAAAATAAATATAATAAAGTGTTCGCGCCAGGCAAGAAAGGAAAAGCCCGGAAAACGGCGGAAAAGCCATTGTCCTGGAAATGGGGCATTTTCAACGACCCGCGCTGGAATAAGCGCTCGTTTCAATGGCGCCGTGGGATGGGGGCCCCGGCCCGAGAAAATGACTAATATAGCTTCACGTAAATATCGACATCATTTTATTATGAAATCAGCAATGTATGGCGCACCGAAAAAAAACGTTCAGGTGTTTACGATTTCCAGGAGACGCGCTGCTGGCATTTTGCATCGGGAATGGGGGTTGAAAAATTCAAAAGACGGCGTCTGGGGCTTCTCGGGGTTATTCTGGGAAAGTGTTCGCGCGGCAAAAAAAAACTTTTTTGGGGTTCTATTCATGCTAGCAATGTCAGCGCCTTTAGATTTTTCAGGAAATAAACGGGTTTTTGGTTTTCGGTTTTCTCAGGGTAAAAAGTTAAATG